CATAGAAACACACCACTATAACATGAATCAAATATGTACTTTATTCATTTACAATAAATGTCATAATGTACATCAATCTGATTGGAGCTAAGGGCATACACTGTCTAACATATCCATATCCAAGGTCATGGAGACTCATGGATAGGGGTGTCAATTGGACTGGATTTGGTCCAATCCAATCCGGTCCAACATGGATCCATTTATAAATGGGTTGGACCCAATCCAGTCCAAATCCCATACAAACCAAGTCCGAACCAATCCAATAGAAATTCAAATGGATCGAATAGGATCCAATCCAATCCAAATTGAATGAAACATAAAAAAATTCTATAAAAACCTAGAAAATATAAAAAACTATAGAAATATATTAGATACTTTATAGAAAATGATAACATACAATACAAACACTAAGAAACAGAAAAATAAAAATAAAAACCATAAAAACTATGGACAATTAGGCCATGTTTGGGAGTGCTTATGTTAAAAATAAGTGCTTATCGAATAAGTGATCATTTGAATAACCACTTATTTGCATTTACCACCCAAGTGGCCCAACTTTTTCAAGTGCTTATTTTATATTGGGCATTTGGTAGTTTTTTCTCCAATAAGCCCTTAAATAAGTATTTGTGAGTATTGTCCTTTATTTTCTTTCAAATTTCAAAATATACCCTTATGAAAGTACTTTTGTTAAATTACTTTTATAAAAACACTTTTATGAAAGCACTTCTATAAAAATAATTTAATGAAAAGTACTTTTACACGAAAGAACTTTTAAAAAAGTACATTTATGAAATTTCTTTAATAAAAGCACTTTTACACGTCTTACGAAAGCACTTTTATGAAAGTACTTTTATAAAATTCAACTAGGGATAGCTTTGGAAGAAAAAAAATTGAATAGAGGCTTAAAAAATAAGTCCTTATTTTTAAAATAAGCACTTGTTTCGAATAAGCACTTAATTTTTAAGCACTCCCAAACACGGCCTTAAAGGCATTTATGGACCGGTTTTGGGTTGGACCCATCCAAATCAAAATCATTTTGGACGGATTGGATGAACTAATACAACATGTTGAATTGGACCAATTCAAACTTAATGGTCCAAAGTATTTATTAGATTGGATTGGACTTGGTCAATCAGTAACGGATTTATATTGGACTGGATCGGATTGAACCAATATCTAGTCCATTGATAGAAGAAAAGAATATTGGAGTCAATGGACCAAGTTTGGGTTGGAACTGATCTAAATTAAAATCATTTTAACAGATTGAACAGTTCAGACATTGAATTGGACCGATCCAAAATGGTCCAAAATGACTCATATTGGACCGGATCGGGTTGGACCAAATCTGATCCAATTGACACTACTAACAAATAATAGAAAATACAAAAGAGAGAGAGATAGAGATCTAAAAAGGAAAGCAGATAAAAACAAGAACATACGAATTGGACTGATTCAAAATTCAAACTCAATGTTGAGTTGTCAACTGTTGGATTTGAATCCGAATTGAGGACTCATGCTTGTTGAGATGCAAGGTAGTCCTGGTGTCGGGTTGATGGATTCCAGTCCTGGTGCAAGGTTTATAAACAATTGTATTGTAATCTTTTTAATTTCATATATAAACAATTGCAAGGTTTTAAAATCCGAACCAGACACGAAACCATTTTGGGGACCAGTTCCTGGGTTAAATGGTCTGGTTATTCGGTTCAAATAGATGTCCTATTTTGATTTTAAAAAATAAAAAAACATCCAAAACCATTGTTTGAGTTGACAATTTGATTGCTTAGGTCACTGGGTCGCTACCAAATTAATGGTTTTTGAACCAAGAGCGGTTTTAGGGTGAAACAAAACCGGTTTCCTGACCGGTTCTCAGGTCAACCGGTCTGATTTTCCGGTCCAGTCTAGTTTTGAAAACCATGAACAATATTATACATCAAATTTCATATAAAATAAAATTTTAAGATTTTTTATTTTAAAATTTTCACTATTTCTTTTGATTTTAAAATATGCCTTTCATGGCCTAGCCCAGCCTAGCCCAAGGCTTGGCCTATTACCCAACCCAACCTATGACACGACACGACTGGGCTCGGGCCCACTTGGGCTTGTGCCATGGGAGGTTGACCTTTGAAATATCCTAGAGGCAAACACGACTCGCCAAAGAACGGGTGACCCGCAAAGTCATGTTGTGTCAGTCCAACACGACGAAGTTGGAATTTAGAGAGAGGGAGATGGAGGAAAAATCGAAGGAACGAGAGAATCACAGAGAGGTAAGATGGGATTTGGACGGACCATTAGACATGGATTATGTCTACTCCAATCCGGAAATACTCATTGGACATTTGATTCTGGACCGACACATATCATATGTTTTGTTGGACCGTCCAATCCATCCAAATGAGATTTAAATTAGATGGGGTCCAATCTGATCTTGTTTCGTTGACTTCAGAAGTATTGGCTTCATACCTTTCATTGGAACATCATTTCTATCAAGACTAAGCTTTCTTGGTTAATAAAATCCATATACAAGAAGCCAAAACTTACAAAAGTAGAACCAAATGGAAATTTTCACCATAGGCAGTCCTTCCAGCTCAGTATGCACATTGTATTTACTTATCTTTCATCCAGGCACCATTCATCTTAACAAAGGAGTGTGATGGTGAGATTCTCACAAATCCCAACAACTTAGTGTAAGCCGACAGAGGGATGATCTAACTCTGAAAGTCTAGAGGAGAGTGGTGGTGAGAGAGGCCGATGGGGGAGAGAGAGAGAGAGAGAGAGAGATAATTTGAATCTCCTTTACCCCTTAAATGGGTCTAATGGTTATCATATTATTGGGTCCCCATATGGGTATGGGGACCTATTTATAGTGTTTTTAACCTCCATCTTCTAGAATCTTCTTATATTTCCTTTTTTTCCATTTTACCCTTAATTAATGTACATGCACTTAATTGCTATTCTGGAATGTTCTTAAATGCTATTATTCTAGAAGATTCTAGCTCTTGAAAGGTTTGTAAATAATTAGTGGATAATCGGTCTGATTCGGTCTGGTCCAACCTGGATTTATGTTGGGTTATCTGGGCTAGTGTACTTATACAAATCCACTGTCTTACACCTAGTGAGGCAGAGGAAGAAGAATCGATGAAAGAAAGATGAATAGGGAAGGGTACATTCATGGCAACATCAATAGAAAGTCTGTTCAATGTTTTGCCCGAAAGAAAACAGCTATCACCATTACCTACTGCAAACACAGGAGGGGTCTGATCAAGGTTAACAATTGTCCAATCAAGTTTGTGGAGACGGAGATCCTTCGTTATAAAGCTTTTGAACCCATTCTTCTACTCGGTAGGCACCGATTCGCCGATGTCAATATGCGAACCAGAATGAGGGGTGGTGGTCACACTTCACAAATATATGCAATTTGATAGAGAATCAAAGGCATTCACATTCTGGTGAGGTACAACTGAACACTACTTATTGCGGACCCTCGGTGATGCAAGCCCAAGAAGTTCAATGGACAAGGTATTCATGCTAGGTTCCAAAAATCTTATGATTCTTACCACTGAGGAATGACGGTTGTTGTTGAGGAGACTTTGAGAGACTTCACTTTCTAGAGTCAAACCATTGACTCACTCCTTTTGGTTTGTATTGGTTAGGATTTCTATAAAGGGTGATATAGTGACAAAATGCTATGAAATTTGATTTTGAAAATTTTGAACTGGAATGGCATAGTATTCGGAATATGCAATGCTGGATTGTTGAATTTTGTATCAAATTCAAAATAATAATAATAATAATAATAATAATAATAATAATAATCCAAACTAATTCACAAAGATGAAAACATGAATAAGAAAAGAAAACCAACAATTTATGTTATATTAAAGTGGCAACTATAAAATGGGAGAAATTATGGCTATCTCATATTGAGAGGTTACTTCTTCAATAATCTCAAATTTACCCATAAAATTCTCTCTTTCTCCTGTTGGCCAAAGCATTGAAGTATGTGGTGTTCCCACCCCCCTCCTTAATCCACTTGTGTCTTGATTCCTACCGCCAAGATATTTCCTCCCTCAACAAAATTTCTTCCAGCTCCTTCAATCTCCATCTCATGTCTCTCTTGCTCACTCAATGACCATTGAGACTAGTTGAAAATTACACCTACAATAATTCAAATAATGCAAGAAAAGAAGAAAAAAGAGAGAGAAAGAAGAAGAAAAGAAGTTTCAGTAATAGGTTGTGGAAGAAGAAAAGAAGAATTTGAACCTCTTTCTAGCCCCCTTTCATCACTTTTATTAATAATTCTAAGTCTAAGTACAATTACTTGGATGCCCTTAATGGAGCGGCCAGCACTACTTAAAAGAAATAAATAACACTAGGGCCCACTCAGCCCATTCTCACTACACTCCCCCTCAAGCTGAGCATAGATGTCAATCATGCCTAGCTTGCTTACATAATGTTGAAGCTTTGCCTTTGGGACTCCCTTAGTTAGAAAATCTACTAGCTGCTCTTCTGATGCAATGAAAGGTAGGCACACCTCTCCTGAAGCCACTATTTCCCGTATAAAGTGTCTATCTACCTCAATGTGCTTAGTTCTATCATGCTGAACTGGGTTGTGAGCAATGTTAATAGTAGCTTGGTTATCACAATACAACATCAGTGGCTCGCCACATGAAACACCCATCTCATTAAGGAGAGATCTAAGCCATAACAACACAAAAACACCATGGGCCATAGCTCTATACTCTGCCTCAATTGAAGATCTACCAACCACTGACTGCTTTTTGCTTCTCCAGAAAACAATATTTCGAGCTACCATAGCACAATATCCTGATGTGGATCTCGTCATCCACATTTTCTACCCAATCAGCATTTGTATATGCTTCTAGCTTCATGTGTCCATGTTTAACAAATAACATACCCTTCCTGGGGTTCCCTTAAGGTAGCATAACACTCTTTCTACAGCAGCCACAAGTGTGTCTCTGGGAGCATGCATGAACTGGCTAATGACACTCACAATATATGAAATGTCTAGACGAGTCATACATAGATAGAAGTTTCCCTAGTAATCTCTGAAACACTCCCCTGTCAGCTAAAAGTTCTCCATCATTAACTGAGAGTTTATGATTAACATCAATAGGGGTAAAGGCCGCTTTAGCACCAAATTTTTCAGTCTCAATAAGAAGGTCTAGCACATACTTCCATTGAGGAATTAAAGATAACTTCCTTGGACCTAGCAACCACAATTCCCAAAAAATACCACAACTCCCCTAAATCTTTAATTTCAAATTCAAAACTGAGAAACTTCTTGAGAACACTAACTTCTTCTATATCACTACCAGTAATCAAAATATCATCTACATAAACTATAAGGAATGTCACCAGAGTGCCTTTTCTCTTAACAAAGAGGGTATGATCTGATTAAGTCTGAGTGTAGCTGAACTGAACAAGAGCAACCCTAAACCTGTCAAACCAAGCACATGGAGATTATTTCAAGCCATAAAGTGATTTCTTCAATCTACACACCTTACCCTGCATTTCCTTGCCATATATACTAGGAGGAAGGGACATATATACCTCTTTAGTGAGATCACCATTCAGGAATGCATTCTTAACATCAAATTGATACAGAGGCCGATCATAGCTCACAACTAAGGATAAAAGAAGTCTCACCGAAGTCATCTTAGCAACTAGAGAAAATGTCTCACTGTAATCTATCCCATATACTTAGGTATATCCCTTGGTAACAAGTCGTGCCTTATACCTCTCAATTGACCCATTTGCGCAATACTTGATAGTGAAAACCCACTTGCACCCAATAGGTTCCTTCCCAGCTAGCAAGTCAACAATACCCTAGGTATTATTTTTATGAAGGGCTTCTATTTCAGTACTCATAGCATCCCTCCAATCTGGTGTGGCTAAGGCTTCTAAAACAGACTTTAGGATGGATTAAGAGGAAATGGAGGCTAGAAAGGCATAGTAGGATGGGGACAACAATCTGTAGGAAAGGTGTTTGGAAATACAATGAGTTGTACATTTCCTCTTACCTTTTCTCAAATCAATGGGTAGGTCAAGGTCTAGAAACGAGGGTGCTAGTGGAGGAGGTGATGGACATGTCCTCTCTTCAGTAATTGGGACCGCCTAAGTCTCAATGGAGGTGTGGGATCAACCTGTGTTTGCCTTAGCCCTTTCCGTTGGTACCACCTCTAGAGAATATGATGAGTTGAAACAACTAGAGGACTAGTAGGAGGAGGGGGAGAAGCAGGAGTGGAAGACCTCAAAGGAGAAGATCCCTCCATGGGAATGGGGGTAACTATAGAGAGCTCGACAAAAGACCCAAATGGAGTTGGCAAAGGAAAGGATGAAGAAAGCAACTTGAGAGATTTCTCCCCCTCAAAATGATGGCAATAAAAAGGAACTGACTCTGCAAAGGTGACATCCATGGAAACAAACTAGGTGCCACTAATGGGATCAAAACAATAGTACCCTTTCTGTGTGGAGGCATAACCAAGGAAGATACACTTCAGAGCCTTGGAGTCAAACTTGTGTCTTTTGGAACTGGGAATGTGGGCATAACAAGTGCAACCAAAGACCCTCAGAGGAATAGAGAAAATCTCAACATCAGGAAAGAGGACTCCGAAGGGAGATTTTAACCCCAAGACTCAAGAAGGCATGCGGTTAATTAGGTATGTAGCTGTTAAAACTACATCACCCCAAAACTTCACAGGAACATGGGTAGCAAAAAGAATGCTCCTTGCAACTTCCACAAATGTCTGTTTTTCCTCTCCGCTACTCCATTTTACTGTGGAGTGTCGGCACAAGAACTCTGATGAATAACTCCAAACTTCTCAAGATAGGATGTAAAGTCCTTCTCAAAATATTCTTTAGCATTGACTGATTGGAATATTTTGATGTGGGTATTAAACTGAGTATGTGTTCATGGAACTGTTGAACAAGTTTAGGCACTTCAGCCTAAGAGTGCATAAGGTAAATCCAAGTATATCGTGAAAAATCATCAATAAACAGGATGAAATATTTATACCCACCCATACATGTTAAATGGTAAGGCACCCACACATCAGAGTGAACAATATTAAAAGGAATAGTTGATCTTTATTACTTGAAGGATAAGTGCTCTTACAATGCTTTGAGAACTCACAAGACTCACAATGAAGACTCGATAGACTAATTCCTTTAAACAACTCTGGAAACAACTGACTTTATGAAATGACCCAAACGACTAAGACGTAACATAATACGACTAGTGGACTCTGAAACAAATGCAAATCTCTTAGGTTGTACTTGGTTCTGCTCAGGCATGTCTAACAGATAGATACCATTTGCCTCATGGCCACTCCCAATCACCTTATGAGATTCCATGTCCTGAAAAACACAATATAAAGGAAAATAGGTCACACTGCAATTCAGGGATTTAGTCAAACTACTAACTAAAAGCAAATTAGTATTAAGTTTAGGTATATGAAGAACAGATGATAAGTTTAGGGCATTAGAGGTCTTAATATCTCCATTTCCTATATAGGGGCTAGGGAGCCATCAGCAAGGGATATCTTATCCCAGCCAAAAAGAAGTTGGTAAGAGGTGAATAACTGTGTAACACTAGTCATACAGTGAAAAGCCCCATAATCAATTATCCAAGGGGTTTTATCAGTACCTAAGATTAGAAGCATGATGTGCAGTGGCACGAATACCTGAGTGAGCATATGTAGAGGAAGGAACAGCCTCTGAAGGAGCTATAGTTCAGCCCCGGCGGCTGCAAGTGTTCTCCCACTGAATTCTCTCCACCCTACCCTTGTTCACCTTGTGAAGAGGTGGCTACATTTGCATTTCCACCTTTTCCCACCATTTTCTTTCTTGAATCTGGTAGGAACAAGCTTTGGATGCAGCTTCCAACATGTGTCTTTAATGTGTTTGGGCTTCTTGCAGTATTAATAGATAACATCTTTCTTCCCAATGCTAACATTTGGCTTCATCCCCACATTAGCGTAGTGATAAACCTACAACTCAAAAGACTGAACATGTCTTCTGCTCACCTCACCGATGAGGAACTCAAAGACCAGATTTCTCTCCACCGACCTCCTATATGTTTCTGCATCCCTTGTGCAACCCAGACGTAAATCAGTCGTCAAATATTGTGTAAATTTGAATATTAGAGGAAAAAAAGGAAGAAGAGAAGTAAGAGCAACAGTACAAGAGAAGAAGATGGCAAAAAGAAAAGGAAGAAGAAGAAGATTCGAATTATCTTCCCTTTCTCCTCTAATCCTTTTTTATTAAGAATTAATGTTAGAGTAATGACAAGTATGCCCTTAAGTGGGCGGCCAGCTAGGCAGTAACATAAAGAGATTAAACAAAAAAGAAATAACAGGCCCATTAGCCAACAAGAAAAGAAAAGATATTACAAGAGAAGATACTAGGACCCATTCGGCCCAGTCTTTTTACACTCCCCCTCAAACTGAGCATAGATGTCAATCATGCCCAACTTGCTTATATAGTGTGTCGTTTTCCCTCTTGGAACTCCCTTGGTCAAGATATCAGCCAATTGTTCATCTGATGTGATGAATGGCAAACAAACTTCTCTTGAGGAAACTCTTTCCCTTATAAAATGCCTATCAACCTCAATGTGCTTAGTTTTGTCATGTTGAACAGAATTATGTGCAATGTTGATAGCTGCTTGGTTGTCACAGTGGAGCATCATTGGCTTCTCAAAGTCAACCCCCAATTCTTTTAAAAGGGATCGTAG